TCTCTCTCTCTCTCTCTCTCTCTCTCTCTCTCTCTCTCTCTCTCTTCTTCTCTTCCCCTCCTTCTTTTCTCTCTCTCGCTCTCCCTCTCTCTCTCTTCTCTCGCGCTCGTCTCCCTCGTGCGGGCACCAAAAATACCAACGCTTGCTCCGTGGGTGAGCTAGACGAGGACCGAACGGGGAGCTCGACAGAGAGAGAGAACGAGAGAGAAGCGTTATTTCGAGATTATCGGGGATTGCCGGCTTTCTGGAATCGTGCCGATCGTCTCCATTCCCGATATCGAGCGTGTCTTCAATTTCACGAGCGAAAACGCTCGTCCGGTCGCGACGACGTCTCGCCGTCGCGATTCTCGCCACCTGGAAGGTTTCCGGTAATTTCGGAACTTTACCGCGGTTGGGTCTGTGCTGGATCGTCTTTATGGGAGTCGTGAAAATCGGCACGATGTTAATGCTACCAACTTGCCTCTTGCTCTTGGTCTCTCACTTCGAATAGTCGAAGTCTTTGAATAGTTGTGAGAATAAAAAAAAACACTTTGCCAGAAAAATAATCTCTCTCTGTTACGGTGATATGTATTGTTAGTTAAATTTCTCTACACATGTTTCAAACTATTTTATTAATCCATAACTATTTTATTAATCCATATTTAATAATTAATTAAAGGGGTTATCCCTAATGTTATGTTTTCATATGTTAGGGGTTATCCCTAACGTTATGTTTTCTCATACAATGTTCAAAATCGGGACATAAGACGTCTTTAAGACATGTTGAAATTGTCTCTAAGGTTCATATTAATAGTCGTTACGTGAAACTTGCTTCAGGTAAGACACTCAGATTTTAATTTAGAGTTAGACCTGAATTTCTCAGCTGAATCGCAATTGTAAATATAATGTCACGTGTATTATATAATTCAGATAAAAAACTCTCATCTAACTCTAAATTCAGATTTCAGTATTTCACGTGGAACAAGTTTCAAGCAACGACTATTAATACGAACCTAAGACTTTGAAACTTAAGACGTCTCTAAGACGTTTTTAAGACGTCTTCAAGACGTCTTATGTCTCGATTTTAGACGTTGTATTGTATGGGATATAACTGTCGTTATGAATCTCATTGACATCATTCTTTGGAAGCTAATATAATAAGTACATAGTCGTTTGATTTAACAGACCTAGAAATGGCAGGGCAAATAGATGAAGAAAGCATATTCTATGTAAGAGAAAGTCACTCCTTTTTATTCCTCCGTTTCATCCGTTTATCCTTTCAAATATATACATGTGATAAACTTTTAACTCATACAATTATTTATTATATTATTTATTGTAATCTACTTTTATTTAGGAATTTCTAAGACATAAAGTCCAAACCGAGAAATTATCAAACGCATCGATAATTTGTCCATTTAGCGCGACACTTCGAATAATCGATTGAAAAGGACATGTGTAGAATTTTTATTATTATAATTTCGTGATCACAGTTTGATCCTTTCAGATTATTCTGAACCTGAACCTGAATCTGAGAGTAGTTCAGAAAGTCCCTGACAGCACTTAGCGAAATTAATTCGTCAAACCGACGATATATATACTCCGCGAGAATTTAATGCCCTTCAAAAACCATTACATTCTCTCTTAAGTAGTAAAAACACTTTATGGGCGGACATTCTGATCGTCGACCGAGCCTCTCGATCGAAGATCCGCAAGCTTGTGCGCATTTGGATAAACTGAGATTTCTTGAAACAAATTTCGTGTCCGGCTCGCCGCGCTTTCCCGCGGAGTGTGCAGCACTCTTTCGAGAATCGTCGGGAAATCGTCTTAAAACAGCTCTGACCCGCCGAACGTTCGGTTTACTGTTTATTTCACGAGAACGAGCGCGCGAGACATTATCGCGAGGCGTGGATATTCCTCTGAAGACTCTGGCCAGACTTGCTCGAAAAACAATCCATGGTGATCTCGCCGATAAATCACTCAGTTCGAAACACGGTTTCTGTCGAAACGGCGCGAATCGAAGGAGATGACGTCGCGTAGTATTCGATCGATCGATCGACCGATCAAATCCAGCGAATCCGCGCGGCGGCGATCGCTCCAGTATTCTTTTCGAAACGCGCGGCTGAGACGCCGCGGCAAATATAATAGGCCAGTGTCTTGTCCTGTCCTCGCACTCATAACATCTATTTCCAGAACGGATCGGCGACTAACTTTAGAACGGCTGTTCCATATACTCGAGCCGTTCGCCCACTCGGACCCGCGCTCGTTCGCTCGCTCGCTCGCTCGCTCTCGGGGAAATGTGATAAAGGAGCAAACAAGTGCACACGGACGTAAAGGTGAAATCAGGAACGATTTCCTCGTAAAAGATCCCGCACGGTCGGATCTTCAGCGAACGACGGATCTTCAGCGAACGAGTACTGTACGCGTCAAAGTGCAAATTTAACTCGATATTTCAATCCTACTTCAGTAGTGATTTTCATGAGAAAAAAAGAAGCAACCGAAATTTCTCTGAATTACTTCTGTAGGAAATTCGCATTAGAAGCGAAAACTTCAGAAAACAATTTTTAGCTATCAATAATGATTCGAGTATCAACGAGGGTTTACGACCGAGACCTCGAAGTGATCATGAAATTTGCACACAATCGAGAAATCTTAACTAACATGAAGTAATCGATCTCACGGAATCAGTTTTGCAAATATTCCGCATTAGAAAAGAGAAGTTGAAAAAAAAATTTGTCAGCTATCATTAACGATTGGAATATTGACGAGGATTCACCATCAAGACCCCGAATTGACGAAATTTACACACAATCGAAAAATCTTGACTAACATGAAACGATTTCCCTGAATCAATTTTGCAAGAATTTCGTATCAGAAAAGAAGATTTGAGAAAACAACTTGTCGGCTGTCAATAACGAGTCAAGTACTGACGAGAAC